GCTACAGGCGGAGTTGAAGCGTGTTTGTAAGTAACTGCAAACATGCTTTACCTTCTGTTCAAGAAGATTTGGGAGGAGGAACAAGTGCCAACGGACTAGAAAGGACACCTCATCAGGATACCAAAGAAAGGAGATCTGAGCAAATATTAAAACTACAGAGGCATCATACTATTGTCAATACTAGGGAAAGTCTTCAGTAGAGTGTTGCTGAACCGGGTGGAAGACGCAGTAGACGCCCAACTTCGAGATCAACAGGCCGGATTTCGTAAGGATCAGTCGTACACAGACCAAACTGCGACACTACACATCATCGTGGAACAATCAGTTGAGTGGAACTCGTCAATGTACATTAACTTATGAGGACCTCAACATCTGAGTGAAAACGCGGAATACAATGGACAGCTCAGAATCAATTAGACGATTTGGACTTTGCAGATGACCTAGCCCTCCTATCGCGTACACACGAACAGATGCAGATAAAGACACCCAGTGTAGCAGCAGTCTCTGCATCAGTAGGCCTCAGCATACACAAAGGGAAAACCAAGGTCCCCAAATACAACACGGAGAACACCAATCCAATCACTCTTGATGGTGAAACTCTGGAAGATGTAGAATCCTTCACATACCTGGGAAGCATCATCGATGAACAAGGAGGCTCAGACGCAGACGTATAGGCAAGGATTGGCAAAGCAACGGCCTCATTCCTACAAGTGAACAACATATGGAACTCAAAACAACTTTCAACCGATATCAAAGTCACAATCTTCAATATGAACGTCAAGACAGTTCTACTGAACGGAGCTGAAACTTGGAGAACTACAACAACAACCATCAAGAAGGTACAAGTATTTATAAATGGTTATCTACGCAAGATACTCAACATCCATTGGCCGGATACCATCGGCAACAGCCTTCTGTGGGAGAGAACAAACCAGCTTCCAGATGAAGAGGCAAGCCCTAACTTGGAATCCTGAAGGGAAGTGGAAAAGAGGAAGGTCAAAGAACACATTACGTTGGGAAATAGAATGAGATATGAAAAGGACGAATAACAACTGGAAAGGATTGCCCAGGTCAGGGTTGGATGGAGAATGCTGGTGAGCGGCCTATGCTCCTTCACGAGGAGTAACAGGCGTAAGTAAGTAAGTCTTCGCACAAAAGTTACGAACGTTTTTTTCTTTTTATGATAAGCAATTAGATAAGAATCAGTGAGCCTCCTTACGAATGACTTCTTTATCGTGTTTACTATAAAAAGGACTATAAATATACAGATATGTATGTTATCAAATAAAACATTTAATCAAATTGTCTTAATTTATTTGCAATAAAATAATCTCATACATTAATTAAAACATTGAACAAAAATGTATCCTCCTAATTTAAAATTTTTTATGTTAGTTTGTAAATGATTCATTTAAAAGGGTAGAATATGATATAATTAGCTTATTCTCTTAAGGTCGTTATGTACCCAAATGAGTATATTGACCTGAAAGTTATACTGATTAGGTTTTGTGTTGTTACATTTAAATCGTTCTGTCACTGATTATATATATATAAAACAATTAACCATATACTAATGTGGAAACTCTTGTGATATAGAGAGAAATTTACTGGAATTAGATAATTTGATTGTAGAGACTTCGTGTAGATTCGTTTTCTTTGTATTACAGCAGAATATGAACTAATGATAATTATATTGTAATTCTGTTAGAAGATATTTTATAGTTGTTTGTATCTGTGTATCCAGAAGCCTAGGGGAAAATGCCTAACAGCATTTTTATCCATTTAGCGTTTTCGGAAACGTCTTAGACCAATCTAAACACCAACTTACTTATATTTTTCTCCGATCTGACCTATCAACTGTCAAATTTATTACAACTTACTATCTTTTCTAGAAACTTCTATAATTTTAAAGTCATTTGTAAACCACCTACTTGAGTATTCTTTGACTTAGGTATATGGAATAACTTGGGGAGTGTAGCTTCCTCTATATTTTTCTGCCTTCTGTTTTTGTTTCAGGTTAAGGAGTTAAAGATTGATAATAATTTAGAAATTGGTCAGAACATAACTCTAAACTGATCTACACCATATATCATATTCCTCTTCTAATGAAACAAAAATTCATCCTGATTATATTCTCCTTATTTTTTTCTTCACAACGTTGTCCTTTTTGTATTCTCTGTATGTGCATATGTTGTTTAGTTAGTTTTTAGTCTCCCCTCCTTTATTCTCTTCATCAGGCGTCTTTTGTGTTTATTATAACTCATTCTTCACCGATGTAACTCAAAAATATCAACCTAATAGTTAACTTCTGCAATTACTTTTCTTCAATGCTCTACCGGCCATTCTCTTTGACTCGTTAGCCCCAAACGATTAAACATGAAGAAAAAAGAGACAACTTTAGTGTTCGACTTTGAAAGGATTATGTCATTGTTTACATGCCGTTTTCCTTTTTAGTGTTTATTAATTAAAAAATGAATTCTCGTATTAGATAAATGTCCACATTCAATGAATATACGTTACACAACATTATCAGAATATAATATAATAACAATAATTAATAAACGAATTTGTTAAAAATTCAATTAACTATTCAACTGCGAATTTCAGAATAGAAAAACACACACGGGTTTAGTTAACTGACAATAAAGATCGAATTGTTGTTTATGGTTTATCAAACTGATAAGACATTATGGTGTCTATTTGGCTGTTTTTTCTTCTAATTATTATCATAATTATTCTTGTTATCGTGCCAAAATCTATTTTCTTTTCTGAATAATAATAATATATACTATATAAAATAAAGGAAATTTTCTTTATTTAAATTTATCAAGGAATCCGGATATTGTGTGAAATAATTTTTCTACATTTATAATTAAATTAAATTAAATTATTCATTGTTACTAGTCTTAAACCTACTTTTCCTTATCCAAATTCGAGATAAAAATAGACCATCATTGAAAACCCGGAAGTACTGGATGGTCATTCCGTTCTAGTACGGAACTCCTCAGCAGTGCGCACTCACGATCGCGCATGCGGGATTTGAACCCAGGACCTTCGGTTTAGACTACTGAGGCGGCATCCAGCGGTCCCATACTAGAACTTAAAGGCCGTTCAGTGCTTCCATGTTTTCAATGGTGATCTAACTTTGATCTATTCATGATCCCAATAAGAAAAAATACTGTAATTTTCTTTTTCCTCTCTCTCTCTCTATCTCTGTGTGTGTGTGTTTTTAAGTATCATTATTAAGTTTTGACTTGGTAACTTCGATTAAACTGACCGCTAGGCAAACACTTAATAACAGTAACAATAATAATAATAATAATAGAGTGATAATATATTTTTAATATGCCTTAATAAGATGAAAAGTTGAATTCCTGATGTTTCATAGCTTAGTGTTCTTTACTTATTCTCTTAAATAATGACTTACACTAAATTGTAAAGCGTAAGGAATTCAATCTTCTATCTTATTAAGTGATATTACACATATTTTCAGTTAATTTTTATTATTATGATTATTATCATTAGTACACGTTGTTGTTATCATTTGAACTAAGTCGGCACTGCTTTTCCACTCGTTAAAGTGTTCGTTAGTTATATCGTTTTAATATTTTAAATACTAGTTCTTGAATATACATTGTTTAACTGAACTATGAAGTCTACGGCCAGAATTCATTTCATGTTTGTTTGCCTTCTTAACACTTAAATGTTATCGAAATTCTTACATCTGTCAATATATTTATCAGGCAGGTGTTTGTACATGTGTGTAACACATGCTCATACCTCTTTTTATTTTGTACTTCTATAATACATACTGATTGTAGCTAGAGAACCATTAAGAACTATGGATACCAGGACAGTTTTTTCATCCTAGTATTTGACCCATCAGCAATGTACATTCATGACGTGATCAAGAGTCAATTACGAAACTTATAGGCCTATCGATTTCAGTTAACCTTCAAACCACTTAGTTAGCATTCGATAGTTTATATCCCTAACTTAAACTCATTCGCGATAGTCATGTTGCTTTCCTGAAGTCTTCAGCCCAAACATTTCCCACTTAATGACCCATTTTTGTTCTACACGTGTATTCATATTGCATCACACTCAATGACAGTGTAATTCAATGGATTAAAATTGAATTTCCCATATCTATCAGTGTTTGTTCTTTAATTTTGGTTTACCAAAATGAAATAACGCTTATTACTAACCATCAAGTTTTCAGTGAAATCATTCGGTTCCTGATGTGAGCTTCCAGAAGTTCCAGTAAAATGTTTTGACTCATTATTGTCCAGTGTCGAATGGATATCACCAAGTATCAAGGAGTAAAAATCCGTACGTCATGGATTATAGCATTAAAGTTCATCTCACGCACTGCAAAACTTGAAGATACTCAATTCAATGTCATATGTCGTGAGTACATGGACAGTGATGAAGAAAAGCCTCAAACTCATACAAAACAACTATCTAGTGCTCATTGGTTTCTTAAGTGATATTCCCCATTACCGAAATCATTCCTTAATGATATACTTACTTCAAAGGTTCATTCGATAACTGTTTCGATTCAGCAATCAATAACACTCGAATTTTTTCCTCTTCATACGGTTAAAAAAGGATGTTTATTTCAGCATCTTGTTTCATAATCAAGTTATAATGACAAATTCATTTCATTTACCACATTTTTTTCATTCAGTACTTAAATGAATTTTATTAGCACTTACTGTTGTTCATTTTTACCTTCTGTGGTGTTACGTAACTTTTCACCGTGGTTTGACAGTCAAGCGTGTTTCTATTGTCATCTCTCCCTTTTGTTTTAAGCATTTCATATAGACAGAATTCGTAAACATAGGATCAAATTAATCATAAATGGATTGGTTTAAATTGATTATTTGTTTATTTTTATTATAAACAATAGAGTTTGTCCTTGTTACTATTATTATCATTATTGTTATTACTATTTGTTAACACTTCTCTCTCTTTTTTGTTTATTCTTCTCCTATCAGGGTACCTATGCAACTGTATACAAAGGTAAAAGTCTTCTAACAGAAACGTTAGTTGCTTTAAAAGAAATACGTTTGGAACATGATGAAGGTGCACCATGTACAGCTATACGTGAAGTGAGCTTATTGCGTAATCTACGCCATGCAAATATAGTCACTTTACATGATATTATTCATACTGAGAAATCGTTAACATTGGTATTTGAATATGTGGTAAGTTTAATGTTCGTTATTATTATTATTATTAGTATTAGTATTTCCTAGAAAATTTCCTTTTTACAGGATGGTAGGGATCCTGACACCTATATCTAACCTTACCCTTGTTTATACAGGTCCAGGACCAATAGTAACCGTCGAGGGACTCCAGGTGGAGTTTTTGGCATTGTTATTGTTCTTATTTTTTTCAAAGCATAATAATTTCGACGACAGTTTGTTGATTACACTCCCTCACTAAAATATAGGGTGATATAAACATAATTCAATTTGTAATGGTTTGGAATGTCTGGTTAATGTTTCCACTGAAATTTGATCAGTCTTAGTTGCCATATGTGCATCCCGATGGGATTGCTTCAATTTAGCCATTATAAGTTTATAACGAGTGGATCGAATGTAACTAGTAGTGAAATCCAAGACGCGCCGGATGTACCTGCGAAGTAAACATCAACTCTATTATGTTAGTATATTCAGTTAATTAGTCCCAAGTGAAATGAAACTAGCGTCATGAATTCCATTACTAACCACATTCTATCTATTCCACGTTATATATGGGCGGTATTTGGCGTAAATTGATCTCATTCACATGTATCATTGAAAATAAGTGGGTATTGGACAGCTCTTTAAACCAGTAGTATGAAACTCCCGAAGAAGGTATACTCACGAACTAATAATATGAAAACATAATTGTTCAATTATATATACTTGGTTTGTGACTTACCTTTTCATCCTTGATTACCCATTTATTTTCTGCTACATCGTACTATCTTATTGAAATATTCTGTACCCATGGAAATAACAATTTTTCCTTCCTAACACGAACTCAGTCAATTAGCCAGTATTTTTTCTTCTGATAACTATTTAGTAGGGTTCCTTTTGTGGAGGATTTGTTTCATAAATAAGTGATCCATTCAAAATCACCGTTCGTATTTCTAGCAACTGGATCGGACAACAGTCACCATCTGAACAGCATAGCCCATATCGTTACTAAGTATTCTTCGATTTGTCTCTTCTGCCTGTTTACATTCGGTACCTCACTGGATCTCTTGTCATTTATTTCGAAAGCTCGTTAATGATAAATGCTAAACTACCATAGGAAATAGTGTGTTGATGGAATTTTTTCCAGTTTGCAGATAAGTTTCACCATGGTTTGGTAAGAGTACTGAAGTAATTACCTATTCTTTTATGTTTACCCAGTAACAGTTTTTTTCTAACTATGAAATATATATTTAACTAAGATATTTGTCACGGTTAAACTCCACTGGTCACGGCTTCGAACTAGATCTCTGAGAATTATCTTTTAAAACTAGCCAATAATGAGTACATTGTAATTTTTAGTATGAAATTGTGGAGATTGTCGAATTTAATTGAAATCATAAATATATACGAATGTTTATTTTCTAAACGTTTACGTCGCAGTCCTGGCTAATTAACTGCAAACAATAATAAGCACCTAATTTATACGAATTCTTTTAAACTACTTGTATTAGTTAGTAGTATAAATCATTAGAGCGCTTTTATAACGCTGTACGGTTGGAAAATTTCACCAAGCTTGTTTTCATTGATTTTAGAAAATAAACAATTTGTAACATAGGTATTGGTAAAATATATATGATTGAAATGTATGAGAAACACATCTGTATAGCTTATCCACATGATTAATAATTTGTTGATCATTAGTTTTTATTTATGTGGATAAGCTACCTGAACAGATGTCTCAATAGTAGTAGTGCCTTTAAATAAACAACTACATTTAGATTAAGCTTTCTGATAATTAAAATGAGGAATATCAATAATGGGAAAATATGGAAAATTACTATAAGTACTATCTACCATCCCATACCAGTTGAACAAGTGTAGCGAAAAACTCCCTGACATTTTAACTGATCGAAGTACTAGAGAGAATATCAGACATTTATGCCAATATTTTACACATATTATTGGTGTCTACATTCTTTAGACATGATTACTTATTGTAACTAATATTTCAATATATAAAGCGTATAATGCAGTGTAGACATGGGTTCAACATTGTAAATAAGACAGTGTAAAGAAAAAAAAAACAAACCTTAGGTGAATTTTCGATTGTTGTTATTATTGTTATCCTTTGCATTGTGTCACGATCATTCTTTATTTTATATTGACTACACAAAAAATATTCGTTCCCCTCAGTATTTGTATTGACAACTTTTTTTCTTTACTTCTTTGTATATGGTACTCCATTAAACCCACTGTATATTATACCTTAATATTCTGAACCTAAATGGTTTGTCCATATTTTCAGGCTGAATTGTTATTCCGCTCCACATAATAAAAACGTTGACATATTAATCGGATATATAATATGTAAATACTTGCCTGTTTCGTAAGTAAGCTGATCAAAGTTATAGACACTGTACTTACTTCCATAATGTTGTGTCCTATCCACCTCAACAGTCTTTTCCTAATCTCTTCAGCTGGAAGTTATTTTGTTCTCTGTCATAGTAGGTTGCTGATGATAGTATCCGGCCAACGAGTATTGAGTATCTTGCATAGAAAATTGTTTATAATCACTTATACTTTTTTGATGATGGTCGTGGTAGTTCTCCAAGTTTCAGCTCCGTTCAGTAGAACTGTCTTGACGTTCGTATTGAAGATTCTAACTTTGAGTTCCATATGTTGTTCAATTGTAGTAATGCTGCCCTTGTTTTTCTAATCCCTGCCTTTACGTCTGCATCTGAACCTCTTTGTTCATCGATGATGCTGCCGAGGTACGTGAATGTTTCCACCTCTTTCAATTCTTGTCCATCAGGTGTGGATATTGTGTCCGTCCGAAACCTGACACAACTTCGGATATTACACTTGTTGGCAGAAAAACTTGGGGCATTATCGGTATACCTCCAGTCTTTTCAACGAAGCAATCAACCTACAGTGCTTCTGGTGGAAAGTTAGATATTGTCGGTGAAAAAAATTGCAGTCACTATAGAGGAACTAACAATGAAGGGAATTCTGTATCTCACAGTGTATTCAGCACTGTAATAAACCTAATCCACAACGAGTTTTGAATAGTTTAGAATGTACTTCTAGTTGGTGGAAAGGTCCCCTGGGTTTGCTATTTATGATGTCATTTATGAGAACAAATAGTGCAATCTTAGTTATGGATTCGTTCTATTTACCAGTCATAAATCATTACTGGCACTGTTTAGGCCAAGGAAAGGAGTTATTGTGTATACAGTTAATCCATTACAACGATAGGCAACCACGCTTAGGATAAGACGTCAAGAAAAGCGAACTTATTATAAAAATTAACTGGCTCCCTTCCGAAACTAGAAGAAACCAACAGAAACTGAAACATGTTGATCGAGTACTGGTTGCTCCAGTTTGTGGACTGTCACTTACCTTCGAAACCATTATAGAAGCCGCATTAAAGGGATACACCTTAAGGTAAATTAGGGGTTATCTTCCTACCTAATAACCAAACTGTTACTTCGAAGGAGAATTTCTGCAATATTTTCGTCATCGTGACTTGTTTATGGTAGTTGATTTTCGGATCATGTTCGAAAATTGGATTGTTATCCCGTAAACTTTTATCAACAAGTCCGCACGTAATTTCACTCTGGTAAACTAGGGATCAATAAAGTGAAGTCTTTTACTAAGAGTTACTCTTACTGGCCTACAGTGGATCACAATATCAAAGAAAAATGAAATAAAAGCTCTTGACTTTAAGCTGCTAGAAATTCTACCACAACTGTGGCCCAAATCTGACAAACATTAGGTAAGACTTCATGCAGATTTTTTGGTCCAATACAAGGACAAATGTATTCGTTTATCACAGACCCATTTACAAAATGGCTGGAGATATGCTTTATATCAAGTTGGACAGTTAAAGAAACAATAAGGAATTAATATAATTTCTCTAGATGTTACATGGTTACAGAGACTTTGGTGACTGAGTATGGCTCTCAATTTACGTCGCACTCGTTCAAGCAGTTCTCCAAAGTGCATGAAATTAATCATTTACATTCTCCATCTCATCATCTACAGTCCGACGCCCAGTTAAAACATTTCATGGGCAACTTCAAAAGAGTTTTCTTTGAAGAGGTAGCGGGGCGGTGTGATGCCATGTCAAGTAATTACCTAGTTCCTAACGTCCTCTAGATAGATGCCTCCAAAACTAATTAATCAGAATCTGGCTTCACCCATGATATCTACCTTACACTGGAAATCATAGTTGATTATTTCGCCTTGAAAAAAAGCTTATAAAATTACCAAGTAGTGAATGACTTCAGGAGGCATTTCCTGGAGTTCTAGTGAGAAGCCGTTACCAGTGGAGTTCAACCAGGTCTGTTGTGAGATATCGACTCACTGAAGACAATGGTGTAAGGTGGCGCAACTTCGTGGATTGGTTGAGGTTAGACATTAACACCGTTGGATGCCGGTTCAGTGGTTTAGTGGTTAGGCGCTCGCGTGCGAAACCTAATGGTCCTGTGTTCGAACCTCGCGGGACCGTGGATGTGCAATGCTAGGAGTCCCATACTAGGACGAAACGGCCGTCCAATGCTTCCAGGTTTTCCATGGTGGTCTAGCTTCAATTGACTCATGATTTCAACTATTGAAATTTATTTTCGAAAGCTAAATTTATATTGGGAAACAATTAACTAGAGTTATTTTTAGGTGTGGTATGAAATATTGAATAATGGTTTTGTTTTTTGTTGGAATCATGAACCGGTCAATGTTGGACCACCACTGAAACCTGGAAGCACTGGACAGCCGTTTCGTCCTAGTATGGGACTCCTAGCAGTGCCCATCCACGATTCCGCATACAGGACTCGAATCTAGTACGTCATACTGAAAATAATTTTTTATATGTAAAGGAAATTAGTTGACTATGTGAACTCAAGTCCTGCTTATCTTCAGATCTAATAAAAAAATGACTCTGTTAGTTAGAAGTATTAATCAATTGTATCAGATAGTTATGTACGCGAGAGGTAGTATTCCAACTTCAAACCAAATGGTGTTGA